GCCGGGGCACGGCGGACGCGGCCGTGGAGCCGACGGGCGGCGCCGCTCTGTCCAACCATCTTGACCATCCCGCCGAGCCCCGCCGCGAGGGGCGAGAGGCGCAGGCTCAGCTCCGGGACGACCTTGCCCGCGCGCAGGTCGCCGGGCTCGACATTGAGGCGGCGCGCAAAGGCGAAGGTGATGACGCTGTTGACGGGGACGGCCGCGCCAGGCTGGGACATCTCGATCAGCTCTTTGCCCACGAGCATGCGCACCGTCGGCAGCACGGGCACCAGCAGCAGGTCGAGGAGCGCGGTGGCGGTGTCGGGGCCCTCGCGCAGCATGCGCATGGTGGCCGGGCCGGTGATCGGGTTGTTGAGCAGCATCAGCAACGTGCGGCCCGCGAGCAGCGCCGTCTCGCGCGAGGCGGCGCCGGCGGTGTCGACAGCCCCGCCCACGGCCCCGCCCACGGCTCCCGCCGCCTTGTGGACGCTGAGGATGTGGCGGAGGTTGGAGATCGTCGCGAGCGGGTTGGTGCGCTTCTTGGCCGGCTTGCCGGCGGAGGCGGACTGCTCGACGTCGACGTTGATGTCGTCGACGTCGGCGCGCGGGGTGGCCATCGTCGTGCCGGAGGTCATGCGTCGTGCGTCCTTTCGGGCTTGCGAGTTTGCGACTTGGTGGTGTGGGCACGTTCTGATATTCCTTGGCGGCGTTCGGTCCCCCCCCGTGCTCCCGTCTTTGGCGCCATCTCCGATGGCGACGCGACGCGGCTCGCGGCAGACTGCCCGCTCCGTCCCAGGCTATACTTGATTTGATACCCCTCCCACCCACCCACCCAGTCAGTCAGTAGGTAGGTAGGTAGAAAGGTGAAGAACAGCCAGGCTCGGACTGGACACCAACGCGGTATGGGTGGACGCTAGACAGATGATGACGACACGCACGAGCGACACACAGACACAAACAGGCTCACAAGACACACAGCCAGCTGGCTGCCACACACCCTGAGTCGGCGTACACATAACTCAGGGCCACATCCTCCCTGTCGCCCCCCCCAGCACTCCTCGGTGCCAAGGGCACAAACAAGGGCACAACTCAAACAACAGACAACAGGAAGTGACATGTGAGGCTAGAGCAGCTTGCTCCACCTCTAGCAATCTCACCGGCCTGCGAGGCACGGACGAGACCGTATGTGGGGTCTAGTGAGGTGTCTATGGACGCTCTCCTCATGGGCTAGCTGCCTGCGGCTAGCCCTTCTCGCACTCACAGGCGATGACACTCCAATGTATGAGTCAGTGCCGGCGCGTCGTACGCGTCGAGGAAGGGGATGGCCTTGGACTTGGCCACCATCGCCGCGCCGCCCGCCCGCGACGAGACGCCCGCGAGGCCGGGGCCGGCGAAGGAGAGCGCTGCCGTGCTGGAGAGGGCGAGCATCTCTTGGTTGTTCGGCTCTTGGGCTTCTGGCAATTTGGGCTCAAAAAG